GACTCTGAGCAGATTTTGGCTAATAAATAGAAACTGGGTAGGAAAATCACATGTCCTTGTTGTAGCTTGTTGGAATGTTTTTGAGAAATTGGTCCTGCCTGAATTATAACTATGGTGTCAGCTGCCACAGTTTTTCTAGCCTTCCAACTTGGAAAGAAGTTGATAAGGTTGATGTCCCTCAGACAAACCGGAAGAGTCAAGATGTAGTGGTTAAGGTTGGATTGTATCTCATTTGGTTAGAGATCGCAAAAGTTATCAAGAACTTGTGAGGCCGAGGCAGGAGGATCATGAGTTTGAGGCCTGGGTTATATAGCGAGACCGTTTCTCAATAAATAAATGAAATAAAGTAAAGGAAGTTAAGGATAACCACAATACTCAGTAATTTATAGTCTAGATTTGTTTATATTTTACTTTTGTATTATGTTTGCATACTCTGAGGGGCTCGTAGTGTTTGTACTGATCATGCAACATGTATCCCAATTACATTTTGTGCTGATAGTTTGATGATTCTGAACTTGGAAAGTACATTTTGAGGCATCAGAGTTGACTCTTACAACCTCTAAAGTACCATTTGGCATTCCTGCCATTGTCACCTTTGCTTCTGTTTATGCCATCTTCCCATATTGGAATGTAGTCCCTCACAAGTCCCTGCCAAGGGTACAGTGAAACACCAGGAGGATTTTCATGGTCGCAGCCTGCTCCATTGTGTATGGAAAGCACATTTCCTTCCTACATTTCCCTGTTGAAGGCCATTCAGGTTGTCCACAGTTGGACTGCTGTGGGAAGTGCTGCGGTGTATGCTAATGTGCAGGTGTCTGCATCTGTGGTCTGGGTGGGATCTTGGGGTAGACACCAAGTAGTGGAATAGCTCCATGTGTGCCAGGACTGATCTTTAGCTCCATGTGTGCTAGGACTGATCTGCATCTGTGGACTGGGTGGGATCTTGGGGTAGATACCAAGTAGTAGAATAGCTCCATGTGTGCCAGGACTGATCTTTAGCTTTTGGAGGAGCTTGCACACTGAAAGGTCTGCATTTTAAAATGTCCTTTAAATAAATATTCTAAGTGGCTATTGAGTAATGGGTATTGTCAGACTTCAAGCTTATCCTCTCTCTCTCTGCATACTGTTTTATCTTTTCATTTTACTCCTCTCAACAGTGTGGAAACCCCTGTTATTTTCATTGCAGGTACCTTACACCTAAACTTTGTAGAGTTAATCTTGTGACACAGGCACATCCATATTAGAAAATACTTAACCATCTTAAGTTTATTTTCTAATATGGATTTTGTTAGCAGTCGATTCAAGAAATTCAACTGGTCTTTTGTGTTACAGCAACATGGGTGTGCAGTGGATGTGCCTGTGTTTGGGTTTAAGAAAGAGCTAGGAGAGATCACAAAATGTTTTAAAAGCCATGCATTTCAAGCAGAACAGTTGTGACTTTTGAAACCACCTAACCCAGAAAAAAGCTGAGACTAACTTTTCTCTTACAAAATAGGAAAGTTGTAATAGGTAAAATACTCACTGTTAGAAGGATTGAGAATTTATTTCCTTTCTGGAGGAGCAGTCAGACTTCCAATACTTTGCCTCTACACCACTTATTAAAAATTGCTGAATCAAAGTTCCCATTATGTAATTGTCATATTCTGCTAAATAAAAATGCCTTCCCCTCCATTTAAAGCAGGCTCTGGCGTTATTCCCAAATCAGGATAAAAGCCACTGGGGTTTTGTTGTTGTTTTTGTTTTTGTTTTTTATGGTAGCTATTTCTTTTGTTTCTCTGCCCTTACTTTGCACATATCACTCAACAACTAAGGCAGAAGTATTTGCCACTTTTCTTTGATTCTTGAGTCTGCTTTCTTATTGAGATGCCTTATAGACCAATCTGGAACTTAAAAAAAAAGTTTCTGCAAAAGCTCTTTATGTTAATTATGTAGTCAGGCTTCTCTAGGGGAATTTACATATGCACAGAGGACTTACTACCTTGGCTTACCGACAGTGGACCAGCTTGTCCAACAGTGACTGTCTTTCAAAGGAAAGTCCCAAGAATTGTTGAGTCCACAAGGATGGATGTCTCAACTGGTCTTCACTACACATCAGAATCCCAAAGAAGCAGGCTCTAATACCCGTGAAGGATGTCTCAGCAGCAGAATATGTGACCTTGACAATGAGAATAAGGGCAAGCAGGCAAAGAGCAAAAGCTTTTTGTGTACCCTTTATGTAGGCTGCCTACAAGGTTGGCCCAGATTTAGGGTAGGTGTTCTGACCTCAGATGATCCAATTTTAAGGTGGGTCTTCCTACCTCAAATGAACCAGTTAACTAAAAATTCCTCACAGTTGTGCCCAGCTGCTTGGGTCTATAGTTAATTCCAGATATATTTATGTTGATCACCTGAATAGCCGTCAGGATGATAAGTAACACAGTGTGATACTGTGTTACTTTTTCATTCCTTAAGGCTTGAGTCTTAGAAACATCTGAAAAATGACCCTGTTTATTGCTGCATTCAAAAATTAAATGATTCACGGCAGTCCCCTCCCTAACAGTGTACACCGGGCACATGGTAAGAATCATAATAGATGCCTGAAACTTTGGGTGGTACTGCTGAGTCCTATATCTGTACTTTCCTATACATATAAACTATATGTAAGTAACCTATATTGAAGTTTAATCAATATATCACACGTCACAGATTAGCAGTGGTGTCTAATAATAAGACAGAATTATTATATTATAGTGAAAGTTATTATATGCATGCACAACCAGCATGGATTCCTTTCTCCTTCCTCACAGTCTCAGTGATAGATTTTCCTTACCATAGATCTTAGCACACATTTTTCTCTTCATTCAAGTTGAGAACTTTCGTCTCACCTAAAGAAAACATGTTCAGCTGCTTTTGACATATTTGCATTGCCAGCATTATTACCCTTATTCGTGGAGGCTATTATTAAGTAAAATAAGGGTTACTTGATGCTGTGATGCTGTGCTAGGGTAATGAGTTTAGATGACTACTGAGTGACTGGGGGGGGGTAGTACGTGCAGTGTGAATACATTGGACAAAGGACTAGTCCACGTCTTGGGTGGATGGAGCAGGGTACTCAGAATGGTGTGTGCTTTGAAACTTAAAATACTTCTTTCTGAAACTTCCTACTTAGTATTTTCAGACTATGATTGGCTATAGACAACTGAAGCCATGGAAAACCACAGGTGTTAGGAGGATGACTGTAGAAAGTCTGCAAGATCTCTCTGCATCTTCTCACGCCATGGCTAGTTTTAATATTGCAACTGTGTATTTACCCCAGATCTAAGGCAAGGGATAGGAATGTGTATGTATGTTGGCTGTCCATTGTAGCAAAGCCATTGATTTGATGGCTTATGCTTCACAGAAAAACCTGCTTTATAAACAGCAGGACTCAATACTTAGTAATATGAAGATCAGCTTCCAAATATTCCAAAAGAACGTGTAGGCTTAGTGTAGAACTCTGGATGAAAATCTGAGGATTATCAGTGGTGGCTCAAAGCTTAGAACAGTTTTAAGCTGGGGAGCTGTATGTATATGTAGTTGCTTTTTAGGAGTGTTTGCATGCGTGAGAGCACCTGTGTCTATGGAGGCCAGAGGGTCTATATTGTTTCTCTTCAGTGGCTCTCCACTGTATGTCTCTGAGCCTGGAATACACTTTTTTTTTTTTTTTTTTTTTTTGTCTAAGCTATGACCAGCTAGCTCCAGGGGCCTTTCTGTTCCTACTTCTCCATCTCTGTGCTACAGATGAATGCTGCTGTTCCCACCTTTTTATGTGGGTGCTAAGTGTCAGAACGCCAGTCCTCATGTTTGTGTAACAAGCACTTTACCAGCTGAGCCACCGTTTCAGCCCCTAAAGATCTTATATAAAAGTATTGCTTATCTGAAATGTCTGAGACCAAAGCGTTTCAAAGTTCAGGCCCACCCCAGCCCACCCCCCTGAGACTTTGTAATATTTGCATATATAAAAAATGAGATGTTTTCAGGCTGGAATGCAAGTCTAACCATGAGATTCATTTGTGTTTCACATATACCATGTATGCATAACCCAAGAGTGATTTAATCTATATTTAAGTGTCCCTCTATCATGAGGTCAGACAGAATTTTCTACTTGTATGGTATGTGCGTGCTCCGAAAGGTTTACTTCCTCACATCTCTAGATTTCAGGTATCTGACTAGAGATGCAGTTTACATGTCTAAATATCAGATAGGTGATACCACACCATCAGTCTCTGGCCTCTGCTACTCCTACACAGCAGAAGTGGCTTAGGAATGTTTTTGCTTACCAAAATGCCATGCCCATGTTTTATTTACCTGGCCATCCTTTTATAAGAGCTTCTGAATCTGAAGAATGCTCTGCAATTGTTTTTCATGACATAGCTTTGTTACATGCATTTCAAATCTGATGGAGGATCATTAATATAGGAGATAGTTGGGTTTTTTTGTCACATGACTGCAAGAGCTGGAGTTGCATGCATTACTGTACCAGTTAAACTTCTGGAAGCAAGCCAGTGTGTTTATGGTGAGTTTCCTATGTAAGCGGTAAGCCACTAAAAGCCTGCACAGTGTTATAACTCTTCCGAGGAGAGGAAGCGTTGGATAATTCAGCAGTGAAGCAGCAGACACGGTGGTAGTAAAGATAGGGCAGCTTCAGCCAGCACATCTCACAGCAGTCAGTGAGCAAGCACATAGCTCCCACACCGCTGCCTCGGGAGGCAGAGCAGGACTGTCCAGGGCAAGCTTCTAGTTTCATGTTTGTGATGTCGAGTCATGTGATAATACTGTACCATAAGTTGCCAACTTCGCTGTACTCTAGAGAGGATCCTTTGCTGCAGTGCTTTTCCCCCTTTTCTTTCCTTTTTCTTTTTCTTGAAAGAGAAAAAATTGTGCAATGTATGTTTATGCCTACACCATGCCGAGGCGACACTTACCAGTAAATAATCTCTGTATCCCCGAGGTAAGATACTGTTTCTGCTTTCCCTGCACAGTGCTGCTGCAGCACGGAGCCGATCCAAACATTCGGAACACTGATGGGAAATCAGCTCTGGACCTGGCAGATCCTTCAGCGAAAGCTGTCCTCACAGGTAAGGAAACAGCTAGCAGACTGTTTGATTTCATAAGGTTTTCATGCACAGAATGAAATGAAGCTAAGGAAATACTAACTACCTCATCAATTGGATACCTAGCTTATTAATTGTGCGGTTGTATATATGTGCAGCAATCTTACTGCTTCTAGGACTTAGAATTACAGCATTAAATCATAACGCTCCTCATATTTTGTCAGTTTTATGGCTTACATCACAGTTTTCCTCTACCTCATCTTCTCAGCTGGGTTTTCAAGCCCTTCACTGTTGAGCAGACAAGGGCATTTGTGTTACTGTAAAAGTAGTTCTCATCGGAAAGACAACCTGCTGCCTTATCATCGACAGTTAAATGCTCCGATGCTCTCCTCTTATATTTTATCACAGCTTTGCACTTTTTACCGTAACAGCCAAGTTTTTTGAACTGGAGCAATAGATGGTCTTTTTACTTCCAACAATGTAGATTTGAGCTTATGAATTTATTAAAGCAAGCGCCCCGGGCACCAGCACAGAGAGATGCTGGGGTAGAAAGCACCTCTCCTCACCGTCTGCAGGACTGTGTTTCACGGTAGACCCTGAGCTGCTGCTCTCATTGATCTCCATTCTCAGAGTGCTGCATTGGATCTATTTTTGTTTTGATTCTCAGCATTTGAGCCCTGCTGCCTCTGCCTTCTTTTACTTAACTGACTGACCTTTGTCATTTGGAGGCTCTTTGTCACTTCAGTGCTAACAGTGTCATTTTAGGTTGTGTGGAAGTGACTTAACTATCTTTTTGTTTGCTGTTTTTGAAGAGATCTGTGCTTTGCCTAACAGTACATATTGTGACTTTCAGTAGAGACTGAGATGAATGGAAGGTGTTTATGTACACAAAGCTTTAAAAATATATGGAATTTTGCTTAATTACTCTGCATGGGAAGACAACTTTCCACTGTGCTAAAATTAACATAATCACTGCTAAATCAGAGTAATCTGATCTTTCTCAATTAATTAAAGATTAGATGAGTTGCTGCTCTAGGATCACATACACTAGAGAAATAAGGCTATTTAAATCGGTGTAGACAAAGTTAAATACACATACACACTTTTAAATGATGGACTTGGGCCTGTCTGATTTGTCTCAGGCCTGGCTAGGTCCTGAAACCTGGCTAGGTCCTGAAACCTTCAGTCTCTTATTAACAAGCCATGGCCAACAATATAGCAGCTTTAGTGCTTTCTGAGCACAGCAGAAACACAGTTTGGAAGCAGCTCCGCTCAGTGTAGCTACGACAGTATGTGACAAGTACTGAGCAAGCTGTCTTTCTGTGTCCTTTTCCTGACCTTTCCTGTTCTGCTTTCTGCCTGCTGGCTGTTAGGTGCATCTGATGCACCATCGCCTTTAGGTCTACTTCTGCTTTTTGTAAGACCAAGCTTAGATATAAACTATTAACCATAAGAAGCCATCTAATTTGCAATGCAGGTCAGAGAAGATCATTTTAGGGTAGAGCTTCTGCATACTTGCTTACAGAGACTAGAGCGCCCCAGAGGACAGACAGCACATCTAAAGTTGATTTGGAAGCTGTCTAGCATTGCACTTAGATGGTGAGAGTCTACAGTTTCCTCAGCCACAAAACTACTACTACCATTGCTCAACTACTACTGATACTGTTCCTTTAAACTTTTCTTTCAGGTATGGCTTAAAGCAAAACGTCTTGACCAGTAGTTTTCTTGGGAACATAAACAATTCTACTTACACATTCATGTTTTATAGCATACATACATCAAGGAGATATTCCTGTGAGCTGTTTCAGAATGTTTTTCTACCCATGTAGGATTGTTACTAAGAAATTCCTTCCATTGGAATTATGATGGAAGTATTATTTCCAAAGCAAAATTTAAAAAGGTTAAACATAGATTTTCAAAAGGGAACTGGGCTCAAGGCATGGCCCGGTCCTGTCTAGCACACATTAAACCCCATGTTCAGTCCCTAGCGTCCCTTCCTCAAGGATGTGGCAGGATCTTGAAAGAAACATCTTGGAGATGCTAGACATACTGAGTGAGTCTCCTCTTTATTCCAGATGAGTTGTGTTCATTACATAATCTTTGAGAGTGATTTTCCTTCTTGATTTCTCTGGTTATTTGAGTGCTAAATATCTTCCTGATAATCTGTCATTTATGTTACAAGTTTGATGCATCGACCAAACAATATGCAGCTATATCTTAAAGCAAATTAATAGAGTAAATCTCTTTATATAGAACATTAAAAATACATGTTTGATCTTGTTTTATACATAAAGACCGCTATCCAAAGCAAATATATATTGTCAGTATGGCAGTTGGTGTCTACCACATAATCTTTGTTTCATTATCCATTTGAAAGGGCTAGCTAATTGGTTCAACTATTTGCTGAACTATTTGAGTAAATGGTAGGTTTGTAGAAGTCTTAAGGGTTTTGATGTTTGTTAATTACCTATGTTCTAGGTGATCATCTGAAGGACGTGGAACCAGTGTGGGTTGGTTTGTTTGTTGTGTTGTTTTTTAGAACAAGAAAATAAAATGTCAAAGTTTATGTAAATCTTATTGAACAACATATTTGGTATGTTATGATTATTGATTTTTAAAAGTAACATATTTGGGATTTTTCTGTATATAAAAAATGCATTTGGAAATAGAGGTAAGTAAGAAAAAGACAAAAAAAGAAGACAATTCTCCCTTAGAGATGACATTTATGCGTTTTTGTATACCCTTTCCCTTTTAAAGTATACAGCAACATATGTTAGTAGTACTAAATAAAATGTACATATGTTGTATTTTCTAATGGTTGATATTCATAATACACAGTATTTGATTTAGTGGCATGGATAATTTCAGGAGGGTTAGGTAATCTTTAGCATCAGCTTTTATTTCTGTCATGTTTCTGTGGCTGTATATTAGTTTTTTGAGTGAATCCCCTCATATTTAGCATTTGGATAAATTATTTTAGCCTCTTTTTCTTTTCTTTCTATTTTTATTTTTTAAGAAAAAATTGTATGTATCCCAGGTTGGCTTTGAACTTGGTGTTTGACCTTGCACTTTGATCTTTCTACCTTTACCTCCCAAGTGTTAGGCTTGCAAGTGTATCCAGGGCTTGTACACCATAGGCAAGCACTACTCTGTTTTTAGAGTTCATTCATCTTTGTACTTTAAAATCATCAATTTCACCAAAATTATGCTTCTTTGCCGTATTTGGGCTTAGTACATGGAAATGGGTGCTTCTGTTCTTGGATTTGATGTATTTGAAGGTTTAGTCGTGTTGCATGTGGGGATGTCTAAGTGTGTTGGAAGGCTTTGTTTCTTCACGGAACTGAGGAGGATGTTTGTTTCCCATATGAAGTGAAATCTCTGAACAAAGTGAAAGGATGGAGGATATCACCGGGACACTGAATTAGGCAGAGGTGAGAACTGATTCAGATTGAGAGTTCAGGGAAGGATGGATGACCCAGGGAATGCTTATCTTCAGCAGGATCAATGATAATTAGAATATGAACTATGTGAGTTTCTGTTGTCACAAGATTAGCCTGGTAATTGGACTTACTAGCTTACTAGTTGAGTTAAGAAACAAAAATAGGAAAGAAAGATAATTTATACAAAGGTGCCTGAAAATGACATAAACCTTGCTCACACTCATAACTCTAGCACTTGGGAGACTGAGGCAGGAGACTCACTGCAAGTTTGAGGTCAGGTGAGCTACCAAGAGAATTCCAGGTTTCTCTGCACTGTAGAGTAAATACCCTGTCTAAAAAAACCAAAATAACAACAAAGCCAAACCAGAGAGAAACTTTGGCCTGAATTCATTGTGTGGTTAAGGTGCATCTTGGACCGTGTTGAGGAGACTGGTGTGTGCCTTTTGACGGACTTGGTCAGGCAGCAAATTGGAATCTTCCTCCACTGCTCCCCCTGCTGTGTAAGTGGGTATTAGTGAGAACTTTCATGATCTGGACTCTGACTGTAGCTTTGAGCACTTGGGTTTCACTCAAGAAAAAGTTTCTCATTCTTAACACTTTTCATCCACCCTCTTGGTAGTTAGGGCTACATACTGTGCTTTGAGATTGCTAGACCATCTATTTCTCACTACCTTACGCTTTAGGTTCCAAATCTTTAACCTCATGTCTTCTTGAGAGCAGTCACTGCATGTGCCACTGAGTCTCAGTTCTCTTCACTGTGACTGGAGTAGTCTTTTTAAGGCAGAAATCAGCATCCCATCCAGAATGTTCTTCAACCTAATCCCATTCCTCCTGGATAAAATCCAATTCTTCAGCTATGGCCTGTCATGATCTTGCTTCTATCTTGTACATTTCAGTCTTTTATTCTGGTTCCTATTTTCACTGAAGTCGGATGCTAGCTGTCCCTCAGACATGAGCTCTTTTCTGTGTCTGAAGTAAGCGTGACAATAGAACTTTGTGACTCATTGGTATCTGTTCAGATGTCTCACCATCTTGTCGCCAGTGCTGTTAGCTAATCTTGTTTCTTCATGGATTTGTTGAGACCTAAAATCATGTTCTATGGCCTTAAATTAGATTAAAAATATATGTACATATGTCTGGGATCTGACTAATGGTAACTGAACAAATAGTAATGACAGAAAAGGTAGTCATTAATTGGCATCATAATCTTAAACTTTCAAAAGGCTTTAATTTATGTGTGTGGATGCTTTGCTTGCATATATGTCTTTGTACTACATGGGTGCCTGGTGTCTGTGGAGGACAGAAGAGGACATTGGCCACTATGTTCTCTACCCCAAAGCAAAGCCCAGCAAGAGCTTCCATTCATCAATAACACTATTTATGACAATAACACTAATAATTTGTTAGCGTGACCTCCGAGTCAATGTGTACCTTAAGAGCACCTGTGAACTTTAGTACTAAGCTAGCAGGTCTGTGGAATTTTAGATTCAACCAAATTGCCATTTTAAATGATTCTTTAAATTTTATTATAGTAAAGTCATCATTAATTTTTGCTTTGTGAGGGGCATTACAGTATTGGACACT